CTGGACCCCCAGGCCGGGGGAACTGTGTGAGGACAGGAAGGGGACTGAGTCCTGTGCAGACATTGCTGAGGCTGGTGACAGGAGAGGGTGCTGGAGACTGGGTAGGAGATGTGACGGGGCTGCTGCTCATTTGGGTGTTGGCCTGTGGGAGAGAGGAGCACACATGATGCACACATCAAACATTACCTTCTGCATACACCTATGACGTGGCTTAAAGTTCACCTCACTCAGAAAGCGTCTCTTGCAAAACTCTGCCAAAGTCCAGCTGTTCCTTTCAATAGCTCCCTTAGTCCCTAATTAATACCTATTATTTTAATATCCACTTTTTGACACAGTGCTTTTAAGTACTCTCTTAGCATTTGCAAGTGTGTGTCTTTTAGCTCTTCGGCTCCCTGAAAGAAGATGCCCTCTCCTCTCTTTCTTGTGACTCTCCCAGAAGAGTACCCGGGCCCAGACACATACAGGAGGCTGCTCAGTCAGGCAAAGATTATTCCCTGAGAAGAATCTGGTCACCTCCTTGCTAAGACGACGCTGGTTTGCAGGACTCACCTGGGGACTACTGTCAGGATTGTACAGGTCTCCAGGCTTCTGCCCGCGCTGGTCCATGCTGTAATATTTACAGTGACTCCACTGGACCATGGATGGGTTCTGAGGGGGCTGGGGTCCATTAGGGACATTCAGCTGCATGACCACCACGCCTGGTCCAGAAGGTGACACTCCTGAGTGGCAAGAAGAAAGGGATTAGTTGTGAATTCAAACTACATTCTGACCTTCCAATAACCCTGAGTGTGAAAGCCAGGAAACAAACCTACCCACTTTGCCTCAGGGTCACTTAAAATGTGTCTTGCCAGGGATCTGAGGTAGTTGCTAATTTAGTTTTTGACTTTCTTCACTCTGAACCAGTAAAAGCTTGAGTGGAGGAGACCAGAGTCCCAGATGCCAATGCTCTCCTGGCCTTCACCTGGTGAGGGGTACTTTGGTATGCTTGGCAGAAAACTATTCCATTCTGTCAAAGTGGGTATTACCAAATGTCCAGGTCAGATTGCTCAAATGTCTGGGCATGGGACAGGTCCCAGTCTGGGGCTCGGGCCAGGGCTGCAGGCACGTGCAGGCTTTTCTGGTAATGGCTGAAGATAGGTCAGTGATGTCTGGTTGCTCTGGGGAAGATGAGTGCACACAGCTTCACTAAGCCAGGCCACGAAGCACTTCTTGGGCCAGGGTGGGTGAATTGGGAATGGCATGGAGCTGTAGGTCATATGCAGGAAATGACAATTCAAGGTGCTGAGGCACAGCGGTTACGCAGGGGAAGGAGGAGATGAGATTATGTTTATGCATTCACTCAGCATTTATTGAACACTTACTATGTGCCAGTTCCTATGCTGGGCACTGGGTGTACAACAAATAAAAGTGGTCCTTGCCCTTATGGAATGGACAGTCTATCAGAGTCAGAGAGTAAGCAAACAGCTGGCGTCTGAGTTTGAAGCACGTTCTAATAAGGGTCTCTATCATGTAGGTGTTAGTACAGAACTTGAGAGAGCTAACTCAAGTGGCCGGCTGTAAAATGGCTGAAGGGAGGGAAGGACCAGCAGCAGGATGAAGAGTTAGGAAGCTACTGGAAAAGAACGAGGAGGTTCTGAATTAGAGCAGTGGCTGCGAGGAAGAGTGGGAGGGTCAGCCCCTCCGAAGGTTTTGCTGACAGGTTCAGGTGACTGACTGGATGTGGTCCTGAAGTTTTAGCACAGACAACCATGGGTAGCCTCACCCTCTCACAGGCTGGGGGAAGCAAAGAGCTCAGTGTGGAAGAACATTAAGTCCTGAATCTTGCTTGTGGTGAAAAGCAAGGTAAGGGATCACGGAGAAGCAGTTTGAATGACAGTCCCTGCAGGGAGGGACAGGCAGGAGCTCTGCTTCCCCACAGGGGATTGTGCAGCCCGAGAGTTTGCTCTTGACCTCTCAGGCTCTACGTGTGTTGAGGGACAGGTTGAGTTCATGTGTGTGTGGTGGCAGAAAATGGCACTGGCTTGAAAACCTGCAGCAGTGCTGCCGTTCTCACGGCTCGGTGCTCTGAGGCGGCTGCCACCACTGCCGTCACATTGCTTCCTGTAATGGGAAATGTTGCAGCCTCTGCCCTGGGCACCATTCATGCTCGGAACCGAGCACGACTGCTTTTCTCGGGGAGCATTGGTCAAAGGGAAGGAAAAGAAGCGGAGGGAGGCCTGAGAGAGCAGCCCAGGAGACACAGCATCTGTCGTACCCTATTCTCTAGTCAATTTGTGGACCCCACCCTCTGGGGTTCATCTAATCAGAGGGCACAAATACTCAGAGCGACAGGCTCACCTCTCCCCATCCTCTACCACAGGGGACAGGGTATTCATCAGCATGGCTTGTAGAAGGGCCACCAGAAAATGGAATAGCTGTGGAGTGTCATGCATTTAACAACTGCCCCCTTACTATAGTTGCTCTGGGCATTTCCCCCCTCCCCCCCATTCTAAGAGCCCCACCTGCTCCAACATCCTCTACCAACAAAATTGCAATTGACCTTATTTAAACACCTCATTGCTACCTGAGGGGGCCAACGCAAAAATAATCGCATCTGCAGCTTTCTGGAAGGAAGCTCATAATCTGAGCCTAGTGCCTCAGGCCAGGAAACGGTGGGGGACATGTGAGTGTGCAGGGTGTGGGCATAGGCAAGGCAGGAAGCTCTTTCTAATACCAACATGTAGCCATAAGGAGCTATTAGAGGGCTCAAGGGGAGGGGGAAAGAGAACAAAGTCCTCATATATTTTCTCTGATCCCAACAAAAACAAAGCCAGGGTTCTCGGTGGCAGCCTTGGTCCTCCCCCGCTGGCCCGAAGCATTGTTCTTTCACTCAGCCGGGACACAGAGCACTACGCTGATGAGCTGATTTTTATGCTTCTCTTCCTCCAGCCAAAAGCAGGTGGCATCCGTTACAGCCGAACTGTCGCTACTTTTTAATGGATGTGACGATAAAAAATGAAAAAGGAAGAAAGAAAGAAAAAAAAAGAGAGAAAGCCACCATACTGCCCAGTGACAGCACTTCCAGATAATCAGGGGAGGGTTGAAGTGGGAAGGGGGAGAAGGGGACTGAATAAGGAAATCAATTTCAGCCTGAAAGCTCTGAAAGTAGAGGGGACGTGTGAATGGCTTTTTAAGTGGCATCATTAAACCTGGGCAGAAAGGTCGACTGGGCAGAGCAAACCATATAAATACAAACAGATGACATTTATGTTGGGCAGAATTGGTTTTTGTTTAGTTTTTTTTTTTTTTTTTTTAAATCACTGAGGTAGAAGGCTCATAAGGCTTCTTCTTTACCACCAGGAATCGAATCTATCGAAAGGAATGTCCAGAGAAATAATATCCACAGGCATCTTTCCCATATTACAGGACAGAATCCAACAATATCTTGTTTTTTTCCCCCCCTCTCTCTTTTGGTGAAGGGGAAGAATATCTTCAGGGAGTGGGAGAGAAAGGAGTTAGTTTCACCTTTGGAAACCCCTCAGCTACAAAATGAGCCAGTAAGTATGTGAGAGGCTATTTCTGTATATACCTCCCTCTGGCCATGGTGCTGTGTCACTGTGAGTTGGGAGTCTGTGTGTGTTTATCACTGCCATTGCGTGTCTGTGTGCATCTTCCGCAGACAAGCACCTCTGTAGAAACCTCAAGGGACCTGTGGGCCATCATTTTAGTGGGAAGAAAAGTGTTTCCTGGGGTTATACTGCTGTCTAATATCATAGTGGAGGAATTAAGGTCCAGGCCTGGGGGTAAACTGGGCAACTACAAAAATGTATTAATAAAACAGAACAGTTGTTCCAAGAACAGCCAATCTTAATCCCTGCCTTTATTTTTGGAAAAGTGACCATGTTGTTACATGGGAGAAGGGCGGGTGACTGTCCTTTGAAGGTGACACAGCAGCCCTTGTGGGCTATGCTGGCCTTCTCTCTTCCTTGTAAGGGGTAAAGTGGAAAGGAAGGAAGAAGCAGCACTTGTTTCTTTTCTTCCACCTCCTCTTATATTTCCATGAGTAGAGACTGAAGACTTTTAAAATCAATGATGTGGTCACTACGGGTCTCTTAGGTAACACGGATGGAATGGTACTGGCGGGGGTAGGGAGGGGCCAGTTTCATCATGGAGGAATTCCGAGTACAAAGGATCAGAAAAGGCTCAAATAAATTTATCAGGGCAGTTCTGAAGAAAGGACATATAACAGGAACTTCCAAAGAAGTAAGGAAATGGGGCGCCTGGGTGGCTTAGTCGGTTAAGCGTCCGACTTTCGCTTGGGTCATGATCTCGCGGTTCGTGGGTTCGAGCCCCGCGTCGGGCTCTGTGCTGACAGCCAGCTCAGAGCCTGGAGCCTGTTTCAGAGTCTGTGATTCCCTCTCTCTCTGACCCTCCCCTGCTCATGCTGTCTCTATCTCTCTCCTAGAAATAAATAAAAACATTAAAAAAAAAAAAAAAAAAAACAAAGAAGTAAGGAAACTAGATGATGAAGAGGGCTTCCTCCATTTCTATTGATTTGGGAAGAGTCCAGACGATCTCCTTCCAATCCCAGCCCAGACCTCTGGTGCTGCCAACTTTCAGAACAACAGCTGTTCCAGTTTGCTTAACCTAGCTCTAAGTCCAGAGCAAGTAGTGAAAAATTCTTTCCCACTTGGTTTGTTTCAGATTCAAAGACCTTGTATTTCAAGATGAAGAGATATAACCAGAGAGATTCAATAGATACACTGATATACACAAGGGTTCACATAAAAATGCACATACAAGTATAAGTATTTGCACATGCACACACTTGTTTTAACAAACAAGAGAGAAAACGCCCTGCAGTACTAAGCACCACCAGAGGCTACAGTGGTTCTTGGAGCTGGTTTCTACAATTTCCATATCCCGCTGGGAATTTCAAGGTCAAGTGCCCCTGGCGGACACTTAGGAGAAACAGCTACAGACCAGTAATGTGATAAAGGGTAAAGGCTGTTGAATTAAAAACCTCTCAGCCTGTGAGAAAGCCATGTTTGGTCTGGATGAAGGCAGAAGTCATTGCTCCTTGAAGGTAAGAACTGATCCTGTCTTATGAGCAAGATTAATTCTGGAATCCACTCCACAGCATCTGACAGAAGAGTGCGAAACCTCTTATGTGAAAACCTTATTTCAAAAATGGGGAAATTGTATTTCAAAATGCTTTCCTCCCACCAGAAGAGGGCACTCTGATATTCCCACAACAGAGCTGAATGGGGATGGCTGGAGGCTACACTGAGATCTTCCCACTAGAACCCCTGAAGTTGCTTTCTTTAACTGTAGTGCAATGCTGTGTCGTGGTCCAGTGAAAGGGAAACCAACAAGGGTAGCTGTGCTTGGTCTCTTGCGAGAGTTCTTAGCAGAGGCAGAAGGCCTATTCACTGATAGCTGTCCCTTCAAAGAAAGCCTTTAGCTATTTAACATGATATTCGTTTATTTTCCACTGAAGGGAAAGGAATAGAGGACAGAGACCTGTTGAAAATGTGATATTGAGGGTGCAGCATGGGTTACGAAAAGGCAAGAGACCCAAGTTCATGGTCTAGGATTGTGACCTCAGGCAAATCATTTATCCTCTTTGAGTCTTAAATTTCCTCTTCACAAGGTCTGGGTAAGAATTAAAATGATACAATGTATATAAGCATAATAGAAAAATTGCTAAAGAAATCTAAGATAGGGCTTAAAAAGCATTTTGTCAGCCTCCCTCACACTCCCAACCGAAAAGTAAAGCTGTTTATAGGAAGAATGAGCGCAGGAGACAGAGGTAAGCACTTTGTGTCTCAAAGGCATGTGAGTGGCAAGTATAATGCTAGTTTCAGAGGGAAGGGAAAAAAAAAGAAGAAAGAAAAAAAAACGAACCCAAGGAACCCAATAAGGGATGTGGCTTCCCAGGGAAGGGAGGGGGCAACCAACCTCACCTCTCACGAGGTCAGCTTCAGCACCCCTGGAAAACAACAGTCAGGGCTCTGCTCTTTTCTTGTGATGGTTTGACAGCTGGGGACAGAGCCAATCCAGGAACTCTCCTACCCTTTCCGGCTCTACAGCACAAGTCCTTCAGCAGTGTTTGCTCTTCCCAGTACCCAAGACCTCCTCACTCTTTATTCTCTTACCTGAGTACTGCTGTGGCATCTGTGGCGGACTGCAGGGAGAGGGAGACTGAGGCATCTGGTACTGCTCAGAGCCGGGAGGCTGCAGAAACCCCACAGAAGGGCTGGGGGGTGGAGAAGAGAGCAGGGTTAAAGTGGCAGTGGGAGGAACACGGCTCCTGGCAAACAGCTGCTGCTTCCCAGGCCTCCCCTGTGGGAAGCAGAGGCAGCTCCCAGCCATTCCCAGACCAATTTGCCATGCAATTTCTAAAATCACTCATCAGTTCAAAGTTAATTATATATATTTGTACTTGATCATCTTTCAATTAGGAAGCTGCTAATCAGTGCTACAGATGGAATGTTAGTGACACATGCTCTTCTCAACAGTATGGAAACACCAGCACATACACGTGCACACATGCGCGCACTCACACGCGCGCGCTCTCTCTCTGAGAAACACAAAGTACCAGAAACAGACACACAGTGCTCTGAGAAGGGTGGGCAAAAAAGAACTAAGGAGATGTTGATTTAGGATGTTTATGTAACAGCTGAGTTACCTAAAGACAAGTGGGGAAACCCCCCCACAAGCTCAAGATAATGCGGATAATACACACAAAAAGAAGTGAACCTACACATTGAGAGAAATATATAGAAATACATACAGGCCCACACTTGACTTCTAGTCCCAGCTCTACTTCTAACTAGCTGGGTGACTTTGAGTATGTTTCTTAACCTCCCTAGCTGGAATTTTCTCATTTATAAAAGAAGGAAGAAAAATAAGACAAGGGGAGCAGACTAAGTATTTCTAAGGTTCCTTCTACCTCTAAAATTCTATCAGGAATGACCTATACTAAGATATATATATGTGTGTGTGTGTGTGTGTGTGTGTGTGTGTATATGTATATATATATAATAGATACACCACCATCTGAGATGCATCCATGGACCTAAATATAGTTACATAGAAAATTTACATATATACATATACTCCAATTTTCTTCTTTCAATGTTTTTAAAAAATTTCTTGAGAGAGAGAGAAAGAGAGAATGTGCGCATGCAGGGGAGAGGCAGAGAGAGAGAGAGGGGCAGGGAGAGAGATTCCCAAGCAGGCTCCGCACTGTCAGCTCAGAGTCCCACTTGAGGCTCGATCTCACGAACCGTGAAATCCTGACCTGAGCTGAGATCAAGTCAGGTGCTCAACCGACTGAGCCACCTAGCCACCAAATTGCAGTCTCTATCCTATAGTTCTAAATCCCACTGATTAGAAAAAACAAAAAATAGGGGACATGACAAAGTCTCTGTCTTTGAAGTAGGAATTTTTTTTCTGCTGATAACGTCTTATTCACATGTCAAATCAAAGAGCAGACAAGGAGAATGAATTTCCTCATATGCTACCTGCTTTAGGGGACACTGGATCTTTACCCTTGCCCTTCTTTTCTTAGCTCAGTGGAAATAGCCGCTGATCTATGGGAGATGTGCCCTGACTCTCTGGGGGTCCTCACCTAGTACCGTTCTGCTGAGCCGGTGGGATCATGCTGTAGTACACTGGCACGCCCCCTGCTGGGAGCGCCCCTTGCACAGACTGGCTCGCAGGGACCAGCATGGGTTGCTGGAAAGGCGGCTGGACCACATTCTGCGAGTCATTACCCACTGGGACCTGGGTAGAGACGAGAAGAGAATGACCACTTGTACTCCTAACGAGTTCATCCAGACAATGGCTGAATAAGTAAGTCATCGCTAGACTAGGACACTGACTTCCTTCCCTACCTTTAGAGACTCCTCCTACTCACCTCATCTGCCTAAAGAAAATGCATACAGAACTATCTCCATTTGAGCATCTGATGTAGAGAAAGGAGCCTGATTTCCTTTAGATCCTACTTTTCTGGGCCATTATACTCATTTGCATGGCTGTATAAAGACCAAACAATTAAAAGAAAGACTCTACCCAAGCTCTCTGGGCTTTCTCTCAGAGGAAAAACACCTACAAATTCTAGGGGAAAAGTGAAGAGTATTTTAGTATTGGAGTTGTCACACTGGATAACGTGGGAGACTGTCTTCCTTTTCCTCCTCCCAAGGACTGGGTGATCTCTCCCAGTACAGAATGCACCCACTTGGTAAGAAGGCAGTGGAGTGTACTGAACCACCAGGCCTTGCATCTGGGCCCCCATGCTGCTCCTCTGGTTGCTGAGCAGGCCCTGGCTCTGTGGCTGCTGGACCCCAATCATGCCTTGGTAAGCCGCCTGCTGCTGGTTAGGCATCATGGGCTGTAAACCTAGGGATGAGCAAGACACAGAAGACATTAGCCTGGTCTCAACGTTTAGGAGGTCATATTCTCTCAGTAACTTCCCTCCTCCTGGCTATTTTACCTTTTCTCTTTCTGAAGATCCTGGGCTGCTCCTGGGACTAATCATTTCTGCCGTTTTTTGTTTTGTTTTTTTTTAAACAAGGAAGGTACTACTCTCTTTCCCAGTCTCTGCCCTTCCCCTATTCACTGCCTTCTCACACCAGCAGTTCCTCTTACCAGGCTGCTGGGATGGCTGAGGCAGCTGTTGACCACGTTGGGGGCTGTAGGCCACCGGGTGAGAGAGAGGTCGGTATTGCTGGTTGGAGTTAGGATACTGTCCAGGGGGATAGTAAGAAACCTGGATCTATGGTGAGAGGAAAGAGATACGTGAGAGGGTCCCTTAAATTCAGCCCTAACATCCCCAACTATAAAATGCATCAGGGTAAATAGCCATAAATCTGTAGAGATATTCTGGACCTGCAACTGCAGAATTAATATACAAGTATGAAACAGAACTGAAGAGTATATGTTACAGAGAAAGACACCCTTCTGACTAGAAAGACAACTCTCAGGTGCAAGGTGGGGAAATGGAAGTGGGGATGGGTATGCCCTCAGCTCTGTCTAAACTAGAGGAAGAAAGAAGGCTCTAACAGTGGGGAGCTGAATTAGTGATTTAAGCCTGGAGCCCATGCTGCTCACCTGCTGAGGGGGCTGCATATAGCCCTGGGGCGGCAGGACTTGCTGAGTAGGCGGCGCATGGCTAGAGGGGGGATAGGTGGACGTGGGGAGGGGCTGTCCTGTAGAAGCCATGATGAAGCTAGTCTGCTGAGGGTGCTGGGAGATAAGCTGGGGCTGGAACAGAGCTGAGGATGGATCAGCTGCTTCGGTAGAACCTTGACGGCTAAGGCTCATTTGTCCAAAGGGGTTGCTGAGGTCATCTGCCTGTTGAGAGAGCAAGGGAGACTCAAGGACTGAGGTCATATCAAGCCCCAAGTCTTTGGCTTCAACACAAAAACAGACAGACAGATAGAGCAACCCTCTCTACAGCCTTCCTTCCTTACACCAATTTGGGACACTCCTGCCTCCATGCCCTAGGAGGCGCTTTTCAGCTCTAGGCCTCTGTCATGTGGTGTTTTAAACTGCTATGAACTGCGGGTGCCTGGCTGGCTCAGTCGGTGAAACGTGCAACTTCTGATCTCGGGGTTGTGAGTTCAAGCCCTACACTGGGTGTAGAGATTACTTAAAAATAAAATCTTAAAAAAAAACCCTGCTATGAAAGGAACAGCTGTATGAAGCCCAACCCCAGAACCAGACTCCTTCCCACATATGAGGTAACAATGGCCACTGAGACTCTGATCTTTATTAGAATTAGTCCTAGAGAGATGGGAGCAACAACACCTTCTCTCTATATATAGAAAAAACAGGACAAACTAATGGGTTACAAAGAAAAAGACTAAAAGTCCTTCTTTTTCAGTTTTCTGGTCTCCAACCATACAGAAGGCCCTATAGTGCCATAAAGCCCGTTTTTATAGTAACGGACCTCAATAAATAACACTGTGGATCAGGGATGGTTAGGTTCTCAAGGCTCCCAGCTCTGCCTATGCAGTGAAAGGACTGGTGGGCTCCCCCTCCTGCTGCTTATCTCCTTACTCCCTCCTCTAGAGGTCA